CTGCCACATCCAACTAGCACTTGATCTACGAAAGAAAAACATGCTAAAAGTCCTCCAGATAAGCACTGTTGTTATACTCCTGATTGACAACCTGAACATTGAAGTTTTCCATAAATAATAACATTTGCTCTATACTATACATTGCTACTTGGGATGCAGAGCAATCATATCTGAGCATATATGAGTACAAGCAGAAAAAAATCACTTTTTATCTGAAAAACTATCATATTAAAATTAGTACCCTTGTAGAGATGGTGCCAAATAAATTCCAGACTACACTGCTAGTGTTTTGAAGTCAGAGGCAATTTCTTCAATACTTTGTGCAGTATTAGTATTATTACTTAGTATTAAGATTTGTGATCACATTCAGTTTTATTAGTATTAATTAGATATAAGTCTTCCTACTTACAGCCACTTGACACTAACTTCTTCACTTAGCTATTCGTGGCAGCACTCAATTATTGGTGTTCACTACACTCAGGTTTACTTTTAGACCCTTTGGGGGACTACGGCCATGCAGCATAAAAACTACACACCAACATCAAACATAGAGGGTACTAGAGGGGAATGTTCGCCATTCAGAGGGATCCTACCTTTCTCTACTGTCTATCTCCTCTCCCTCCTTCTTCTCCTCCCCTATCCCTTACCCTCTTTTTTGCCAGCTAAACATTTTGTGTACAGCCGATGTCTTTCTTGTATGTATGTATGTATGTATGTATGTATGTATGTATGTATGTTGGAGTGTCATAAATATTGTGATTTAATTAAAATAGATTCCACTAATAACAAAGCTTTCGTGTTGTATAGTGAATATAATATTTTTGTATTTATATTATTTTTCAATGAGAGAAAAAACTGATTTTAGAGTATGGTTTGATAATATGTTCTCAAGACATGACACTGAAATATGTCATATTTATCTGCTTTACCATTATTAATCTTAGCTGTCTTACTACTGAGTTTATCTTTATTACTTATTAACCATTACAGGTATAAATTAAATCTTTCTTTTTTTTTAATTAAAACATATTTGTGTTTTATAATATTAAATTTGATTCATAATGCTATGTATCAATATAATATTGAAATTAATTTGAATATTTAAGGTATGTAACTTATTAAATATTAAAAATAATACTATTCAATGCATTAAATTAACCATGTCAAATCAAGTTTGCTACAAACTACAAATTTAATATAAAAATATGAACGATTTTAAGCTTGAATTAATTAAAATTAATTTATTCAACATGAGAAAGTTTATTCACGTGTGTTTAATAAATTTTAGTAAACAAATTTCCACGTAATGATTAAATCTATTATTATTATGGTGATGAAAACAGTATTCTGTCATATTAAAAATATGTTCACTGCAGATAAAATAGTTTTCCTGTCAACTTACAGGAAATATGATTCTTGCATCAAACTATTCTTTCAATACTTTAATCATAAAAGTAGTACAGATAATAATGCAACATCTGTCAAAAATAATAAATAATAAAAAGAATACAAAAGCAATGTTATTTATTTAACTATCTTTTGTACACATCATATAAGCACATTTAAAAACAATGATAATTTGAGGTTTTATTGAAGATTAAACTATCTTAAATGTGTAACATAGATAAAGTGATACATAGTATCAAATAAAAAATTTGAAGTCTAATGTTTTTAAGCATATTTTATTGTGTATATATAAAAGGTATTTTTAAAGAAGACATGTGTTTATGACCTTTACAGTAATCTATTCAGTTTTTTATTTTTTTCAATACTATTATTGCATACTATATTAAAAATTGTGTAATTTTCTAAAATTTAAATTTATATTTACTTAATCCTTAATAAGACTCTGGAAAAATCCAATTGGTTCATAGTTTCTTGCATCTTTATAGAAAATTGAGTTGTATGTTCTTATTTATCTTTTTTGTTCATTTAATATCAAAGCTGTGATAAAACTTTTTGAGTAGACATGTTTTGCTAAATTTATATTCAAAAATAAATTTAATTTATCAAAAATACTCAAAAAATGAGTATTTTTTGATAAGTGATTTTTGCTTATTGAAAGCATAAAAAATGTCCAGCTCCAGTTCTTAAAGAAAATATTTAACTGAGATATTTCTTACTTTCTGTTTTCTTTTGTTATCTTAAGAATAACACTGTCTTGTGGTATTAAAGTTGTTTGCTTGAAAAATTAATTATATGCAAGTATTATCAACATTTGTCAAAAAGTACTTGCATGTAATTAATTTTTCAAGTAAACAGCTTTAATACCAAAAGACAGTGTAGTTTATACTTATTTTAAGTTTGGCATTGTTTGTGAGTATATTTTATATTCTCAGTTACCTATTATAAAGTTTGAGTAAAGTTTATTCTTCTGAGATTCTTCTTACTAGCCTCGGAAAGAAGCTTTCTCTATACGCTATCAGAACATAGCATATAGAAACACAGTCTTATGATTTAAAATATATCAAGGAATAATAAAGATATTTAGGATAATAACCATAAATCAAGAGACTACAAGTCATTGATAACAAGAATCTGAACCTAAATACCTCTTATATAGGACAGATATTACATGAAAACCTCAAAGAAATTATAATGTTATAAAAGAGACAGACAATACAATGTAATTGATCAATGTTGATCAGAGAAGTTATTATGTGAAAGCAAAAGACTAAAATAAAATATATTAATGGAAGAGATTGATACATCTTAACCTTAATCATGGAAATTTCTTTTTATGACTTGATAACACATTTTTTTATGCCTACATCACTATTAATTATACGTATATTTATTGTAACTTGTAAAACAGTAAAAATTTTAATTTTAATTATTATTCTCTTTTCACTTTTATGGAGTTTTCTTAAATGTGAATATTTAATATTTTTCTTTAAAGTTCAATACAAATTAGGTAACCTGAGAATAGCTGATATGTAGGGTCATCAAGAGGGAGAGGGAACTGGGAAGTTTTTCCTGAACACAAAGAAAATGTAGGGGTCCAAAGTGATTTCTATCTGTATAAAATTAATGTTATTTTTACTAACAGAAAATAAAATCTAACACTGCATTTTATTAATACACATTTTACTTATTTCATTTATTCAAAAAAAATGACTAAGGGGACTTGTGAACAAGCAAAAGGATCTGTTCTACTCCTAGGCCCCATACCCCTTGACCTGTATATCCCTTGTCAGTCCATTTTTCTAAGTTTTATTTTCCATTTTCCATTGTTGCTAAGTTTTATTTCATGAGTTTGTTAAACAGTGGTGCCTTGGTCAATTATATAGTGATGTACAATTACAATTACATGTAAAAAACTTTTTTAAATTGAAAAGTATTGAAGGAGGGTACAGATAAATATAATAAAAATATAATTATTTTTTTATTTCAAATTAAGCATTGACTGCTGTGACATTGCCAAAGGCCTTGATGCAGAATTTAAATATTCCCTTATAGTACAATACATTTACCATTATTAATTTTTTTCCATGTACCCCTAAACAATCAAGCATGTACCCCTGGGGATACATGCTTGATTGTTTACATGCTTTTGAATCATACTCCCAGTTGGGAATTGCTATCTTACTGGATCCCTTTAGTCCCCCTTTTTTGAACAAATAAAATACTTACAATCTTTCTTTATCAATAAAAAGCAGTCTTAAAAATTTTTTCTGTTAGTAGAAATAATGTTAATTTTATAGGAATAGGAACAACTACAAGTCATAGGATCCACTTACTTTAACCAAATAACCAGAGTGCTTATGTTCAATAACTGCAAATGTTTTCGAAGCCCCTTCTGGGCTCTTCCTCAGGCTTCTACCTTCATTCCATACAAGTTGGTTGTTAATATTTGAACACAATTTGAAAGGTATTTGATTTGGGACACCACACGCACATGCACTCCAAAACTTTTAAATATCAAACAACACGATGAGTTTTGAAATGCACATGTGTTCCACTTTACATCTGATTGTGAAATCAAATGCTATTGTCCATTAGGACCTGCCACACCATTGAAAGGGACATCTCTTTAAAATTAATGCAGGTGGTTCTGCATCCAGCCTTAAATATTTCAATTGCCTCCAATCATTTGAGGTGTTCCAGGTGGGCAGTGGTGAGGATAACACATGCTCCGGTGAAGTCTGCCATAATATCTGGGTCCATCACATTTATGTGACAGACCCAGATATTACGGCAGACTTCACAATGAGTTTCAAAATGCATGCGCATTTCAAAACTGTTGTGTTGTTCAATATTTAAAAGTCTTGGAGCACATGCGTGTGTGGTGTCCTGAATTGAATACCTCTCAAATTGTGTTTGAATATTAACAGCCAACTTGTATGGAATGAAGGTAGAAGCCTGAGGAAGAGCCCAGAAGGGGCTTCAAAAACGTTTGCAGTTATCAAGCATAAGCACTCTGGTTATTTGGTTAAAGTAAGTAGATCCCATGTCATTTATTCAACCCGGTGTGTGGTGAAGTTAAGCAACTAGAAGTCTCTAAGTTTTCTCTGGGCCTGGTAAAAAATCTCCAGCTTCTCTCTCAACAGTCCTGAATAACATCATAAGTTGATACTATATACAAAGACAATATACAAAAAAAATTATATATAATTTTTTTCATTCTTTCTTATACTCTTTGGGAATACATCAACTATACTTCATCACACTTGGATTGAGCAAAAAATATGCATATAAAACTAATTTGAAAATGTAATAATATTAGTTTGAAGTTTATATATGTATTGTATAGATATATTGGCTTACATTGATTAGAGATCAATCATTAATATTTCAGAATAATTGTTTAATAAAATTATAATAATGATATACTATTTATAATTGTATATGATTGAGAAATCTTTGTTCTATCATTTTTTATATTCAGTTGATATTAATTTTTTTATAATAATAACTGAGTTTTAATTCTATATATTATTAATGTACCATAATATATTCAAAAATATTTATATAATATAAATATATATGTGATTACTTGCCTATTCCAGCTTGACCTACCACCCATGATAATCTTAAAAATAACATAACACCCCAGATGTTTAACAGACATCTTATCTACAAAAATAAAAATATAATGAATAAAATAAATCAAGTTTCATAATAAGTTTTAAATAAATATGAAACATTAAATAAAAATGAAGTATTTAATTTAAATTAATAATAAGATTATTTGTTAAAAAAGCATGAAAAATGTTATTGCTATCATTGAAAATTTTTATTAATTTTTTTAAATTTTCAGGTGAAATTAAAGTATCTGGATTATCAAAATCTTATTGCTTGAGTTAGAAAATAAAAAATGGAAACAAAATGTTAGATATTAGAATGAATTTGAATATAAATAAGGAGATAGCAAAACAGTCCAACAGAAGAAGTGTTTTTTATCCACATAACATTCTTAGCGTGATACAAATTCAATATTAATTAATCATAGTAATAATGAGGTTTCATAAAAATGAATATAAATATAAAATAAAAAACTAAATAAAATTATACTAAATACATCCAAAATAATCTTCCATTCTTTATTTAAAATTTTTAATAATTAACATTATGAATAAGTCAAGGAATACGATTTTTGTATAAGTTTTTTATAATAATCTCTGCCAGAAGAGCTCATAGATATTCTATTATTTTGTAAATACAGTAGAATCCATTTATATCAGCCACTAAATATTATCAAACTACATGTCCTAAAACACACAAGATTATAATAGTAATAATTATAAATATCATCAATTTAGTCAAAATGATTATGATAAGCAGATTCTCCTATAATTTTCCAGATTTTAATCCATTATATATATATATTATATATATATATTTATTATATTATTATATGCAGTACTGTTATGTTGTATTATGTATGTGTGTGTGTGTATAATTAATATCTATAACCAAACAATCACTTTAAATCTGCTATTTAATGATTGAATACTAATTAATTAGTTACTAGAAATAGACATTAAAGCAATCGTTTGGTTATGTTTCTATATATATCAGGCTTTGAGATGTTTAATATACTTAATATCTATATCAACAACAATATTAATTAGAAAATTTTCAGACAAATATAATATGATACTTGCATAATCTTTTCAACTACTTCACCACAAAAATTCAATATTTGGATATTTACAGTTTTGAACTGTAATATATTTGTTTAAACTCTTTTCATTATAATCTAATAATGTAACATTTTATGCAATTTAGTGAAACTATAAAGTAGTGTGAGTACATCTGTCACTCTACACAAACTGTACTGTATTTTGTTATTGGAATATGCATTTCTATGACAATTTCATTTAAATTCAAATTTTTCTCAGACTAATCTGTTAAATTTTAATAGTTTAAGTAATTAATCTTTAAATTTATAATAATTTTTGAGTTTCAATTCACATATATTCATGAAAATAAATTAACAGTTTAATTTTTTTCTATCATTATTGATGAATTACAGCTTATCATAATAATTATTTTTACAAATGTAACATTAAGAATTTAAACATTTCAAACATCATATTAATGTTTACTTTATCATTTTTTGTAATTATAAAAAAAGTATGTATTAAAGTGTATACACATTTTAGAGAATTTAAATAATTTCAGTCTTTGTTAACATCATTACATTAAAAATGTTTACAAATTTTTAAGGATTGTGTTTTTATTCTTAAAAACAGATATAGATATTCTTGATGTTAATAAGTAATAGAATTATTTAAAATTTCTGAAACGTATATTTAAATATATTTTTCTTAACATAATAAGGCAATATAAGTATAGTCAATTTAATTCCAAATACATACAAATTTTTTAAAATTTTCTAGGATTAACTTGAGAGCAATTAACCTGTTGAAAATTCATTTATAATCCAAAGAATATGATAATACATATATGCATGGTTATATCAAATCTTAATTAATATATGTAAAAAGAATTTTTGTTTATAAATGTTTTCGAACTGTTTGTATTCTAAATATGCTCTTCATTGCTTGAAAATGACATTAATGCAATGTTGACAGTACTTACATATCTGTTTTGTTATAATTAAAATACTATAACACACAAAAGACAGTGGTTTTTAATGCTTATATAGTTTTGGTGTTAAGTGTGTGATTATCATTTAGAATCAACTTATTGTAATCACTTTGGAACTCACCTAAACTGATAACAATATCTGATAATAACATTAAGCTACATAATTAAATAAGATTACAATTAATAGAATATCTGATTTTATTGAATCTAATATTAAAATAATTAAAAACTACAACTCAAAAATTTATTATTTATAATTATTTTCACTATTACAATAGAAGTTTATTAATCTAGCTTCTGTGGGACTAGAATGGTGACAGATTATGAAAAATGCCAGTTTACTGAATGTTTTTATATTTTAACAAAATTTGATAAGTTATATGCAATTTGAATATCAAAGATATTGTTGCACATTTTGTACCAGCACATTATGCTGTATGTTTTCAAAACATATGCTCTTTAATCAGTATGTACAAAATAAGTTATTTATTTAATCACATCACTTTCAAGTGCATGGTTACCCTCCTGTTATATAACAATATATGCAGCCAAATACTATCTTTGCCCTGATTTTTGCCTGGGTCTTCTGGGAATTTTCTTGCACCATATGTCCAAGAAAATTCCAATTCATGGAATATTATCATGCCAGATTATTATTGGACAATTCTGGATTATTAATTACTTTTCAGAAGGTGCCAAATTACTGGGCATTCTGGATTATTGAGTGCCAAATTAATGAACTTCTACTGTATTATTAACTTACATGTTTTGGAATTAGCAAATCTGACAACATTAAATGACAATATCTTTGATTACAAGTGGATTCTATTGCAGTGGCTTAAACAGAAGCTTAAAAATTTTTTGCTGATTTTTATTACAAAATTTATAATAAAAATAATAAAAAAGCACATGCTTACTTTTTCATAACACTATTTAAGCATTATGAAAAGTAAGCATGACTTTTTTCCATTTTTTTGAAATTCTTTTTAGAGCACTAACTCCCCTTGCCCAACTATTCTACTGTATATCTCATACTTTGGTAAAATAGTGGTTCCTAAAATTTGGAAAAATCAGAAAGAATTAAGTAGTCCAACCATTATCTTTTGTAGGTTTTCTGTTAATATTTTATTTACTATAAAGTTACTCTTATAAATATGTCAAACAAACACTTAAATTAAATTTGATGTTTAATGTTAATGTTGAAAAAAATGCTTTTTTTTTCAACCATGTAACCACCTTGTAAAATATTTTTAAAATGTTTTTTAAAATATTTTATGTTTAAATATCATACTATATTTGTCCTTTTTAAATATCTTGTTAATTTATCCTGAAAAAATAATGTTATGATTGAATTTGAATATATCAGAATGAGAAATATTTCTAGAATAATTTGCACATTCTAACTTGTAAGATGTTTAGTCATTATAAGGTATCAAAAATATATTTTTTATATGGCATACTATATATTGTAATTCGATATTTTATTGAATGCTGTTTGTGTTTGCAACGATGTTACTGAAAATTCAGCATTTTTATTTTTTTTTCTATTCGAAAACGACTGGGAATAGCATGTCTGAAAAACGAAAATAAAACAAAGAGAATTTATATCATGACTATTGGACTAAGAAGTGCAAAGTCGCGTAAATAAAAACAAATAGCAACGTTAAATTTGTCAGGTAGTTGCGTCGAAACTGTTATTTGTCTTCCATTTAAGAGAAAGCAAATCGTAGTATCGAATGTAAATATACAAGAAAAACGGACACAAATCTATAAATTATGCTGAACAGTGTTCAAAAGCGAAATAAAATCTCAGATCTGTGCACCTGTGATATATAAAAATTATTGAAATAAATCTAATATTCCTCAATATATATTAAATCTAAAAAATATTCTTTATTTATTTCGTAAAAATTACTTTAGTTTCTACTTTAGCTTCTATACATAAATTGGCTATAAATAATAAACAAATTAAAATACGAGACTTATAATATATGTATTAAAATATACAGTGCTAAAAGATAATAATTAAGTCAGTCATTTTTANATTGAATATGTGCTAAGAAGAAAAAAATCAATGATTTAAAATATCTTCAGTCATTTGATTAAGAAATACCGATGATTCTAAAATTAAAAAAAATATGCAAAGATCTAATAATCTGTATTTTTTCAATGACTAAATGATTTCAACAAAAATTTGATTAATAATTTAACTAAAAAGGATTTTCATCTTTTAACATTATTAAAAGTGAAATCAAGTCATTTTAAAAAAAATTGTTTTTCGAAAATAAAAAGTTTAATTCATTTTCATAAAAATTAAATTTTTAATTTGAAAGTGATCATATTGATAAAAATTTATCAAATTCAATAAATCGTAAATTTTTGACAAATCATAATTTTATGTAAAAAAAAAAATGAGACAGTTAAGCAAAAATTCTAGATTAGGTTAAAGATTAACTGTAATAATTTGTAACTTATTAAACATAGATTGTTGAATAGAAATATTTGTGTATCTAGTCTTTTGAATCTAATAAATATTAAGAGAGACTCCTAAGGTTATTAACTTAAAAGTCTAACTACATATGAAGAAAAACATCAAATGTAAACAATTACATATTATTATAATTAAACTGAAGGAAATAGACTCATGTTTTTTGGGATAAATGGTCATAAATAATGTTTTGCAAATGATACAGTACTATCTCTTATAGTCATACAATCATAGAAAACTAGCAGATATGCCTAGTATTGCCTTGGTGATAAGCAATAAGGACAAATATTAAAATTAAAATCATATTAAAAGTTTGGTTATTTTAGGTCAACTCAAATTAACAGTGCTAAGTCAGCAAAATTTCTAAATACAGAAGACACTATACTCTATAAAATCGTCACTAAGAATATGATTCATGACCATTTGGTATCATTGTCATGGGCCTTCATTATGGTTTACTAATATAATGTATCAAACTTATAATTTAACAAGTAAATGAAATTACTTTTTTATTGTAACTTATATTTTCTATAGAATCCTAGAAAATAACTCTGAAAAATTTGAAGAGTTTAAGAGATAATAGAGAGGACAAAGTCAGGGATATCCAGGTTTCATGGGAGTCTATAGTTTCTGCAGGGTCCTAGAGAGTAACTATGAAAAATTTGGTCCAGATTAGTCAGAGTGTAGAACTGAATGGTGAACTTAGTGTTATATACATACAATACATGTACAGTACAGTACATATAAATTATTTCTTTACAATTTGATAATAAAGTAGTTAAAATACTGTTTATCTAATATCATTCTGTAATTTTGTAACTGAATTTTTAATCCTATCATTTAATAATAAAAGTTAATATTTGCATGATCACTAAAACTTTAAGATCAAGAAGATAGATTTAATCTAGAATTTGAAGTTTAATGTGAACAATATAAAAATATTCATTATATTATATTGTTTTTAAGGTTTTTAACTAATTTAAAAACATCATGTAGGGAAAACTTTGTTGCAGAAAAATTTATATCCACTATTAACAGCAATAAGAAAGCTATTCAAATTTTCTGATTATCCAAACAATACATTTACTTAAAATCATCTAATTCTAGTAGAAATGTAAATTTAAAATAAATAAAATATGAAATCAGAATTTAAAACACTTAACACTCAAATAATGTTAAATGAGCAGATATGCAAATTGGAAACTTTAAAATCTTTGCAGCATATTCTAATACATTTCAATAATTCAAAAGTTGCTTTTACTCTTTAAAATTTGAATCAGAATAATTGATATCTGAACATTTTCAGAATATTCTAAATAATAAAAATTTTTCTATATTTTCATCAATAAATAGTAAAAATAAACATAGTGATTATTATTAATATAAATACTGTATTAGTTTGATGACTATGAACTAATGTTACAAAATTACCAGAAAAATCCTTTGTAAAAAAAAATTCTTAAATATCAATAATAACTATTTAATATTAAATATATGAAATCAACTCTACATTTTTATGATAAAATCCTTATTAATTTCAATGTCATTAGGATCTAAAAAAGTATAATTAATTTGAATTAAAATCTATTTGTTCCTTTTATTGTTATAAGTCGTATTGTAGTAGATTTAAAAACACGTTTAAAAAATTTTAAGAAACTATTTCATGTTTATGAACTTTTTTCATTTTTGCTTTTCCTGCTCTGTGGGCACTAATAGAGCCTTCTTTCTCTCCTTTACCCATTGTGGGTTTGGCCAAGCTCACAATGAGGATGTTCAGGTGGTGAGGACAAGGCCCAATGTATCCATATACCACCCATGAAAAACTTTTGGGGTTTTTTTTATCTGTTCAGATTGAATACAGGTATAAATCCCAATAATTCCTCAGCCATCCTATATTTCTGGATTTAGCTCTATAAATATGACTAATCATCAGTTTTTAAAGAAAAGGTTTGCTTTAGCAATAAACTTGTAACTATAATACTTGATTAACTAAATAAATAAACATTTTTATATATTTTCTATGAGGAATTAATTTATTTCTATCTTTAAACATAATTAAATCTCTCTGAAATTAATTCTAAAATTTCTGATAAAATTCTTATTAATTCAAATGAATTATAGTTTTAATTCAGAATATCAGAAATTTAATATCTTAGAATTTAAAATATTTTTATCCAATTAAGTAAAATTAAATTGAAATGCATAACAAAATTATGTCTGTAATGCAATCTATAAATAATCTAAAATTGTTTAACTTTTAAAGGAATACTTTCTGCCATTGGAAAATGCCTACAAATGTAAATATGTATTTTATAATGCTACATTAATGAAACTGGTACATATTTCGTAATTCTAAATTTAGAAGTAAATTTCACATATTAAAATAAAATGATGAACTGAGAAATGATTAAAAATAACAATTATACAAGCAGAAATGTTTGTAAGCCCACTAATAAAGTAAATAAACAATGATTAAAGTCAATAATGAAAATAGCACATATAATTAAATGTAATTTATATTCCTTATCTATTTATTTTCATTTAATGCTATAAATCATTAAACTGTGAATGTTTCAAGGAAGTTAAACAAACTATGTGTATAATATAAAGCAAGTGAAAGAAGATACAGTAAAACTATTAAAATATATTTATTTACTTTAATGTATATATTTGTATTTCCTATAAAAATATTTATTGTTTAATATTGCTAGAGCATATTTTATTTATGTATAAAGCAAAGTTTTTTGTTTTGTTTCATATAGTAGACTATAATATCTTCCTTTCTTTAATGAAAAATATTTTTAGTGCTGAGAATACCAATGGCATAAATTGCATTTGCTATTATGATATAAAGAAAGATATATAACATCACCAGATTGAATTTTCATTTAATATAGAAACACCATTTTATATCATACATTTAAAACCTGGATTATTTACAGATAAAATTTACTTGATTTTAATTAATTCAATTATGGAATTTAGGCTAATGATAGACAGTTACGTTGCCATGCTTGTATCTAGATTAATAATTAAAAATTAATTATAAATTTAATCAAAGAATGAAATGACAGTATAACTGTCTGCCTATTTAAGCCAAATTCTGTAATTTAATGAATAAAAATTAGTTTAATTTTTGCCTGAAAATAATCCAACTTTAGATATATAACTGTCTACGAAATCAGGATTTGGTATTTTGAATAATACAAATTTCTTTCTTTTCTTAAATTTCACATTGTGGAAGATAGCTTCCTTCTTTAATGTAAAGAATATTCTTACTGTAAAATAATATATTCAAATGTTGTGTTTGAGACATTTTAACACTGGCTTTTTTAATGACTGCTGAGTAGCCTTAGATAAAAGGTTGACACTGTCAAAGGTTTTAGTGTGTTCCTGATTTTCAATATGTATTAAAACTAGTCTTGTTTTTTTTTAATTAAAATTTTAAATAAATTTTAAAATATTCTTGTTGAATATATTTAAGAGTATGTATTTAGTTGAATTCACATTTATTACTTAAATGATTTAAGAAATACTTGCAATTAAATTTTGTCAAGATAATCAAAGAAAATAATAAATGGAGATGATAAATACCTAACCTAATTGAAAGGCATTTATTTGCCAAAACTTAATATGTATTTTAATGCAATAATTAAAGAGAGAAATGATAAACAACTGCAAAAGTCTATTAGACAGCATTTCAACATTAATACGCCATATATGGTGCCTCGCTAAATAAACTTTAATTATAACTACGTTGCATAATAATAATATAACAAATTACTAACTGGAAAGACTTCTTTTACATTATTACAAGTTTAATTATATAATGAAATATCATTTCTATAATAAAAAGAAATGAATGGAGAGTTATTCATTATAAATTTGCAGATTAAAGTAGTACAGTATTTTAGCAAAGATTAATTAGTTTGTCATATGTAAATGTAATAAACAAGAACATAATTAAAATACATTTTATTTTATGCAATTAGTATTCTAGATGCATTTTATTATAGTATATATTTTGGCCAAAAAAACAGGGCATACATAAAGAAAAGGGAAGTTTGCAATTACTGTTATTTGTTATTTAATAAAAATGAATAAATTTTACCAATACTCCTTGGATCCATCCTAATTTTACAGCACCTTTTTGAATCACATCATCATCAGGAGATTTTACTTGTTTGTATGAATAACGCTGAAAGAACAAAATAAAAATATACTGTATATATATATACATTACACATAAAAACCTATTGACATAATGTAAAAAATATTGTAAAGAAAATACAGTAATTATATTTATATTGATCTGAAAATAAAAGTTTGAATACATTTTAAATTTCTTAATATAAAAATTTAATGGAATTGAAATTTAAAAAATAAGCTAATTAAGTAATGATTTTATTATCTTAAAGCAAATTTCTTTTATTCTCAAATCTATGTTTTATTAAGTACTTATTATAATAATTAACTTAATTACTACATTGTAAATAAAAGAAAGGAAAATTTTATAAAGTTTAAGTTTTTACATTAATTATTTCATAACTAAAACAAAACCTTATAAATGTTATAATACGTAATAGAAAGTAATATTTTTATTTATTATTATAATTGGAACAGTATATAATTATTAATATTATGAAACAATTTCATTTACTTCTAATGTGCTTTAGGCCATTAAAACAATGGGTTTTAAATGTAATTTAAATTATAATGATGCTTTTCATTAATAGGTTATACATATATTAAAAAAATGTAAAATAAAATTATCTGTACAGAATTTTGTATCTTAATACTTTATTCAACAATGTAAAAAATAATTCAAAATCATATTGATAAAACATTGAACTGCTGAAAGTGCATCCTGCTTAAAAATTATTTATTTGTTATATTTCTATACTAAACTGATCTCAATGGCATATCCTGGGTTTAGAGAATATGGATGCTGCTCAAGGCAGATTTGGAAAGATTAAGGCATGCTCCCTGTCAATTTTCAGAGAATGTTACTTAATTACCTTAGAGTTACTTTAATTACTTAATCTTACTTAATTAATTAAAGTCATACAATATGCATTAAAGGGAGTGCTGTAGCACCATAAGCACCCGCTGGATATGCCAAAATGATTTGTTTCTTAATTGTTTCATTACGTATTTAATATCTACAGCAAGGAGACTGAATTAAATAACTAAAACATATAAGTGAAATAATGCTTTCATTAACTTATTCATTTGTTAAAAATCAATAAATCTGTTATAATACTTCAATAAACTTTTATAATTTCATTTTCAATCATCTTTTTACTCTTGGATGAATCACTACTGAGAATGATTAAATGATTACAAAGATAAGAATATGCTACAAAATAAAAAATCAAACTCAGATCATTTTGATAGAACATGATACATTATGTCATTAAGTATATGTGTGACATTTCATTAAACTGACTTAATGAAAATTGTTTCAGAAATGTAATGAAACTAAAGAAATATAAGGTATATATCTAAATAAACAGAAAATTTTGAAAAACAGATTGCAAAATATTGATACTCTTTATACAAGATGAAAATGATTAGAGTTATTTAAATGTGAAGTAAACGTAATTTTATTCCAATTTTTCTAATTGTCATTTTTTGTACTGGACTCTCAAATGCATCTCTAAGTTAAAGAAAAGATTTAAACTGAAATTGTGAAAAGTTATGTTTATCTAAACAACTGCTTTTATTATAATAATCTATAATTAACAGTGTTCAACAGTGTCTGCCCAAAGGCAAAGATTAGATTGCACAGAGGCAGTCTAAACATAATTTAATTTATACCTCATTTATTCAATTGGTCTTTTAGTTCTGGTTTTAAAAAAGCTTTTATATAAGAATGATTATTATTCAGATAATTTAAGATGTTAAAATTACATAATAAATTGTTTTTAAAAGAGAGAAAACTTAGTTATCTGTTTTTCATTCTGATTTTGGAGAATTCTAGCTGACATTTGCTGGAGTATTGTGATTATACTGTTAACATTAAGCAATTAACTCATTCACATATTTTTCTTATGATACATTTATGTCTTAGACTTACCCTTCATCTACTACAATTATTGTATGATTTTTGTATTTTTAAAATATAGAAATTGATTTTTGTACACAAGTATTATGCATACTTGAAACTAACTTAAATCCATTTTCATTACACTTTTATACTCCACACAACTCTCAAATTTTCTATAGAATTTATTTATTGTTTATTTTAATAAATGTTTATTATGAACTGTTATATTATATAATAATTACATTAGAAATAAATTAATAACAGTTTAAACAAATAAGTTATTTACTTTAGTGCTTGACTAAAAATATTTCTATTTTTTGTTTGAAGCAAATAATTTACAAATTACAATGAATATATAAGTATAAAAAGGTTATACAAAACTTTATATAATTATTTCTCAATTATAAATATGATTTATAATATTAAAGATTATGCTAATTTATTTTTATGATTTAAATACATTAATAGGATTATAAGTTAATGAAATTAATAGATTTTATATGGAATTTCATATGACAAATATAAACTGAGAGAGAAATTATTTTACAAAATGAAAGCAAAATAAAACAAAAAATGGAAATTGACAATTTTGATGTGATTCTCTAGTGAAAGGTATACAAGGTGTAAAATAAATTACATTAAAAAATTGCCAGGACGAATTCACATTTATAAAAAATATATTTCTTTTCAGACTAAACATACAATTGAGTCCAACTCCTTCTGTCCTTTGACACGCTTGTGGAGGCAATAACAAATCTACGGCAGACAAGTAGCCTGAAATAAAAGGTCGGTTCTGCAGTAGATTTGTTATTGCCTCCACAAGCATGTCAAAGGACAGGAGTTGGACTCAATTGTACGTATAGTCTGAAAAGAAATATATTTTTTCTAAATGTAAAATAAATTGTTAAATATTTTATATGATTATTTTATCATGTCTGTTTTATACTTTTTGATCATTTTGCACTCATTATACTATAAACACAGTATAGTATAGAACAGTGATTCCCAAATATACATTGGGACCCCAAGTGCATGGGGTCCCCAAATATTGTTATGTGATTGTGTAAATAATTCTTCATATAGGCTACATTATTCCTCTACTTAAAAAGTCTTCAAAAGTGTTGTATTTTTCTTTGGCTTTCTTTGACAGCCATAGAAAAAATATAGACAACAGTTGATTGAAGAAGATTAACACTCAACAAAAATAAAAAAAGAATTAAAGGATTTTATATCTGAAAATAAAAACAAAAAATGTCACAGCCAGTCAGAATCAGAGTTTCATCTAAGACACATGCTCTTTAATCTTCCAATCATACAAGTCTAACATCGCATTCCAGCAAACTGGAAGTGCCACCATTCTTTGTCTTTTGTTTCAAAGATTTAATCGAGCATTTCAAATACTGTACTTACACACATTTTCATTTTTAAAGTTTGTCATAACCTGTAACTTTCATGTTTTGTTTGAGATGAAAATCATTACTCTTCTGGATGATAACAATGGTGGCACATCTGGTTTAGTTACAGTACAATTCTACTTTACCTTCTAAAATTTACTTTTTTAATTTTTATGTTGGCTAAATATCAGTGTTTCGCATAGCCAATTAACACGATTAATTTTACGATTAAGGGGTTGAGGATATAGACTACATTGTGTAATTTTGGGGCTTGAGTATATGTAATGTGTTAACCTATGGGCAATAAAGGCAATTGTCTGGGGGGGCACCACATTAATCTTTTATAAACTCATTACTGTAGTAAGAATATCAAAATTGAAATTCAGGCCATGTCTGGAAACCCTAGATTGCCAGTTTGCCCAAGTGTAGGATGCACTAGAACAGTGCAAAGGTCGAGTTAAAAAACGAACAAGGATACGGAGGGTACCCAAAAATTCCCCCATACAAAAATGTTTGAAACCAACACTGTATATAGAGCTCCTTTATTCAAATTTGCCTGCGGCCCAATGAAGCTAAAACACGCCACTGCTGGTTGTGGTGTGTTTTTTAGCACAGTGGGTTGGTACTAAAAAAGTGTAAAAATGACATTATGTAATTTATGGACAATCCCATATACAGATTCCTAAAGATCCTCATAATTATTTATATAGTTAAATAAAACTGTAACAAAAACAAATAGAATCAACATTGTATTAAATTCCTTTCATGTTTCAAACTATATCATGTATATATTGCACAGTGCCTGCTACTTATAAGAAAAAGGAAATATGCTACAGATTTCTTAAAATATAGATTTCCATATAAGAAAGTTAATGATAGCATCTATCATTTTGTATAATTTGTAGCAAAGCTTTTGTGGGTTTCAAGATTCCAAAATACTTAGAAATATTATTATTTTTTTCACATTAAAAATTATCATTACAATTTTGATCAGTAAATTTATTGATAAGGTATAAAAACTAATAATTATACTTATACTGAATACTTATTATACATTTAATGATAGTGATTCTTACAATAGGAGATTTGAATTTAATTTTCACTTGTACAAACTTTACTCTTCTTCATTATAAAAAGTTCTCTTTCACTGTTAGTAATATTAGTTTCAAAATTAGAAAAGCATTAGACATAACAAAACGAAGTAAACTCATGCATTATTTTGAAGATAAATTATATAAAATGCTAGCAATTTAAAAAAAAAAGAGAGAGAGAAGCTCCTGAATATCAATACTAGAGAACAGAAGATTAAACTATCTGCAGAAGTTTCACAATAAATAGATTTATAGAAATAAGACATGCAGAAAGAACATAATAAACAGACAGAAGCAGAAGAGAAATTTATAATATTAAAGATTATGCTAATTTATTTTTATGATTTAAATACATTAATAGGATTATAAGTTAATGAAATTAATAGATTTTATATGGAATTTCATATGACAAATATAAACTGAGAGAGAAATTATTTTACAAAATGAAAGCAAAATAAAACAAAAAATGGAAATTGACAATTTTGATGTGATTCTCTAGTGAAAGGTATACAAGGTGTAAAATAAATTACATTAAAAAATTGCCAGGACGAATTCACATTTATAAAAAATATATTTCTTTTCAGACTAAACATACAATTGAGTCCAACTCCTTCTGTCCTTTGACACGCTTGTGGAGGCAATAACAAATCTACGGCAGACAAGT